TGGGGAGGTATACATGTATGGGAGGGGGATAAACATGTTTGAGGGAGGGGTATACATGTATGGGGGAGGGGTATACATGTATGGGGAGAGGTATACATGTATGGGGAGGGATAAACATGTTTGAGGGAGGGGGTATACATGTATGGGGAGGGTATACATGTATGGGGAGGGGTATACATGTTTGAGGGAGGGTATACATGTATGGGGGAGGGAGGTATACATGTATGGGGGAGGGGTATACATGTATGGGAGGGAGGTATACATGTATGGGAGGGATAAACATGTTTGAGGGAGGGGGTATACATGTATGGGGGAGGGATAAACATGTTTGAGGGAGGGGTATACATGTATGGGGGAGGGATAAACATGTTTGAGGGAGGGGGTATACATGTATGGGAGGGGTATACATGTATGGGGAGGGTGCTCATGTATGGGAGGGGTATACATGTATGGGAGGGGGTATACATATATGGTGGAGGGAGGTATACATGTATGGGGGGGGTGGGGGTATACATGTATGGGGGAGGTTGTATACATGTATGGGGAGGAAGGTATACATGTATGGGAGGGAGGTATACATGTATGGGGAGGGAGGTATACATGTATGGGGGGAGAGGTATACATATGGGGGAGGGTATACATGTTTGAGGAGGGGGTATATGTATGGGGGGGGGTATACATGTTTGAGGGAGGGTCTACATGTATGGGGAGGGAGGCATACATGTATGGGGAGGGAGGTATACATGTATGGGGAGGGGGTATACATGTTTGAGGGAGGGTACATGTATGGGGAGGGTATACATGTTTGAGGAGGGTATACATGTATGGGGGAGGGGTATACATGTTTGAGGGAGGGGTTGCACATGTGGGGGAGGGGGTATACATGTGGGGGAGGGGTATACATGTATGGGGAGGGGTATACATGTATGGGGGAGGGTATAGCATGTATGGGGAGGGAGTATACATGTATGGGAGGGTGTACATGTGTGGGGGAGGGAGGTATACATGTATGGGAGGGAGGTATACATGTATGGGGAGGAGGTATACATGTATGGGGGGAGGGGATACATGATGGGGGAGGGGTATACATGTTTGAGGAGGGTATACATGTATGGGGGAGGGAGGTATACATGTATGGGGGGAGGTATACATGTATGGGGGGTGTACATGTGTGGGGGAGGAGGTATACATGTATGGGGGAGGGGGTATACATGTATGGGGGAGAGGTATACATGTATGGGGAGGGTATACATGTACAGAGTATACATGTATGGGGAGGGGTATATGTATGGGGAGGGTATACATGTATGGGGGAGAGTGTATACAAAGTATGGGGAGGGAGGTATACATGTAGGGGAGGAGGTATACATGTATGGGGGGGTATACATGTATGGGGGAGGGGGTATACTTGTATGGGAGGAGGTATACATGTATGGGGGAGGGAGGTATACATGTATGGGGGAGGGGGTATACATGTATGGGGGAGGTATACATGTATGGGGAGGGTATACATATGGGAGAGGTATACATGTATGGGGAGGAGGTATACATGTATGGGGGAGGGAGGTATACATGTATGGGGGAGGGGTATACATGTACGGGGGGAGTATACATGTATGGGGGAGGGGTATATGTATGGGAAGGAGGTACAGTATACATGTACGGGGGAGGTATACATGTATGGGGGAGGGAGGTACAGTATACATGTACGGGGAGGTATACATGTACGGGAGGGAGGTACAGTATACATGTACGGGAGGTATATACATGTATGGGGGAGGGTACAGCATACATGTACGGGGGTATACATGTATGTGTATTCGGCGTTATTTATACATGGATGGTGGTATTTTAGTATGGTAGTGGTTTGTATGGTAGTGTAGGTAGTGTTAGTATATTTGTGGTGGTAGTATGGTGGTGGTGGAATGGTAGTGGTAGTATGGTAGTGGTAGTATGGTAGTGGTAGAATGGTAGTGGTAGTATGGTAGTGGTGGCAGTGTATGGTAGTGTGGTAGTATGGTAGTGGTAGTATGGTAGTGGTAGAATGGTAGTGGTAGTATGGTAGTGGTAGTATGGTAGTGTGGTAGAATGGTAGTGGTAGTATGGTAGTGGGTAGTATGGTAGTGGTAGTATGGTAGTGGTAGTATGGTAGTGGTAGTATGGTAGTGGTAGTATGGTAGTGGTAGTATGGTAGTGGTAGTATGGTAGTGGTAGTATGGTAGTGGTAGTATGGTGAGTGGTAGTATGGTAGTGGTGTGGTGGTGTGGTAGAGATGGTGGTGGTGGTATGTATGGTGGTGGTAGTATGGTAGTGGTAGTATGGTAGTGGTAGAATGGTGGTGGGTAGTATGGTGAGTGGTAGTATGGTAGTGGTGGTATGATAGTGGTAGTATGGTGGTGGTAGTATGGTGGTGGTAGTATGGTAGTGGTGGTATGGTAGTGGTAGTATGTGGTAGTGGTAGTATGGTAGTGGTAGTGATGGTAGTGGTAGTATGGTGGTGGTGAGTATGGTAGTGGTAGTATGATGGTGGTGAGTATGGTGGTGGTGGTGGGTGGTGGTAGTATGGTGGTGGTGGTATGGTGGTGGTAGTATGATGGTGGTGAGTATGGTGGTGGTGGTATGGTAGTGGTGAGTATGGTGGTGGTAGTTATGGTGGTGGTGGTATGATGGTGGTGAGTATGGTAGTGGTGAGTATGGTGGTGGTGGTATGGTGGTGGTGGTATGGTGGTGGTAGTATGGTGGTGGTGAGTATGTGGTGGAATGGTGGTATGGTGAGTGGTATGGTGGTATGGTGGTGGTGGTATGGTGGTGGTGGTATGTTGGTATGGTGGTATGGTGAGATGGTGTATGTGGTGGTATGGTGCCGGGTATGAGTGAGGGTGGCGGCGTGGTAAGACTTAATGCCAAAATACCCAAAGTCGGCGGGCTGGGGTCGGTTCGGGCCTCCTCCCCTCCCTACCTCCTCCCCTCCTCCCTCACTACCTCCTCCCCTCCCCCCTCACCTCCTCCCCTCCCCTCCTCTCCTCCTCCCCCCCTCACTACCTCCTCCCCCCCCCTCACTACCTCCTCCTCCCCCTCCCTACCTCCTCCCTCCCCTCACTACCTCCCCTCCTCCCCCTCACTACCTCCTCCCCTCCTCCACCTTTGCTCCTTTTTCCCTCACACACACACACACACACACACACACACACACACACACACACACACACACACACACACACACACTATGGGGTCATGGGTCATCCTCTCCTCTCACCCCCCACTCGTCCCCACTCCTACCTTTTCCTGTTTCCTCCCATCCCCTACCTATTCTTCCCCTCCTCTTTGTCCCTCCCTTTACCCTTGGGGTGGGAAGTAATGTTTCCGTCCCTCCCTCCTCTAAGCACCCCCTTGTACCTGCTCGTGTTCCCCTTTAACTCGCTTCCTCCCTCTACCCCTGTGCTTCACACTACCCCTGGCCCTCATCTCTACCCTCCTCGATTCCACCTTCTACCCCCTTTCGGCTTCCTTCTCCACTTCCTTGCTTCACCCCTCCCTTGCTTCACCCCTCCCTTGCTACCTTCCCTTGCTTCACCCCTCCCAGCTTCCCCCTCCTTGCACCCCCTCCCCCTTCACCCCTCCCTTGCTTCACCCTCCCTTGCTCCCTGGCCCATGCTGTCGTGCCCCTAGCGTAGGTGAAGTGGGTGTCAATGGTAGTGTTGGCTGATGGTGGTGGTGGTGGTTGTTGGCAGAGCCTGAGTGGCTGGCACCTTCACCTGGCACCGGACAGGATCAGCTGTGTGTGGACGAGTGGCACTCCAGTACAACCACCACTAGTAAACACTGCACCAGAACCATACTGAGAGGAGGGAGAGAGGGCAGGTGAGGAGGAGCAGTTATGAGTGGGGGGGTCATCCGTATCAGGTGAGACACAGGTGACCCTTTGGTGTACTGACTGACCCTTACACCCTACACCAGGCCATCGTGGTCCCTAGGGTAGAGAGAAAGAGGGAGGGAAGAAGGTGAGGGGGTAGGGGTTGTGGTTGAGGGCAGGTGAGGAGGGGTACGTGTGGTAGTGGTAGTGAGGGGAAGAAGGTGGCGCTGTAGGCAGTCTCAGCCTCGTCGTGTGTGCTATTTCGGCAGCGCGCGCCGGCGTCCCGACCCCCAGAATATCTCGCTGCTGCAAGGAACAGATACCCCTGCCATCCTCTTCCACCTTCTTCTCCACCAACCTCTTCTTAATTCTTCCTCCGGTAACTAAGACACTACCTCAGTGATCACCGCCGCTTCTTCACCACCGCCGCTATAATACGCTGCTGCTGGTGGTGCTGTGTCCTCCCATCACCTGCTGTTACACCTGATCTGGCTGGCCTACCTGTAGAGGCCAGCCCACGCCAGCAGGTCCACACAGGGGGAGTGTGTTGTGTTGTGACCACCACCATCACGACCTGGATCAGTGAGGGGTGTGTGAGGCAGCGTAGTAGTGGCAGATAGTGAGTGACCTCAGTAATCTTGACCACCTCAACGGGGACGACCCTCTAAAATACGACTCGCGGATTACGGCCCCCTTGGGAAACGAACCACTTGCAGACGACGACTCACGAATAAACGGAACGACTTACCGAAACGTTCCACCACAACAACTGATACGACCCTCACGAAAAACGACCCTACGGAAACGACCCTACTAGCAGACGGCTCACCCACGGGAATAAGTCCATCGTCGTTGTTATGTGATAGAGCAGCAGCAGTGTTGTCGTGCGCACCAACATCTGCGTGATGGTCGTGTCGTCGTCCACATAAAGAGCTGTGTGTATTTACAGTGTGTGATCTAGAGTGTGCCACCCCCATATCGCGCGTGGCGGCAGTGACTCAGTCGACAACAAAACCCACGAAAAGTCAGTCTCATCCACCCACTGTTGATTCAGAAGAGTGAGTCTCAGTGAGTCTCTTCTCTCTTTCGAGCTGGTGGGTTCAGTGAGTGAGTGAGTAGATGAATAGTGAGTAAAGTGTGACGCTAGATGGTGAACATGGACGGTGAGGCGCTCAAACCAGAAGCCTTCCTTACCACGGCCACCACCGCCACGCTGGTCGCGCCGCGGAGTCCTCCATCGTACCCCAAGGTCGCTGAAGCTACGGTAGGTACAACTCTTATGTTTCTTAGGTCACGGAGTTAACCTGGGGCATCCCCAGGGATAACGGGGGGAACCTGGGGCATCCTCGGGGCAGAGGGGTGACCTGGGGCATCCCCAGGGATACAGGGGGAACCTGGGGCATCGGGGCAGAGGGGGAGCCTGGGGGCATCCCCAGGGATAACGGGGTCAACCTGGGGTATCCCCAAGGCTCCCGGGGAAAACCTGGAGCATCCGCAGGGATCACGGGGGGAACCTGGGGCAGAGGGGTGTCCTGGGGCATTCTCGGGGCAGAGGGGTGACCTGGGGCACCCTCGGATCACGGGGTCAACCGAGGGCATCCTCAAGGGACACGTGGACAACCTGGGGCGTCCTCAAGGGTCACGGGGGCAACCTGAGGCTCACTCTGGGCAGGGGGGGCATCCTCTGGCCACGGGGTCAACCTCGGGGCACGAGGTCACCCTGGAGCATCCTCGGGGCACAACGTCAACCTTGGGCATATTCGGGGTACGAGGTCAACCTGGGGCATTCTCGGGGTACGAGGTCAACCCGTGGCCTCCTCGGGGGTCACGGGGGCATCCTCAGGGGTCGATTCAGATCATCTTCATGAGGTCAGAGATCGAACTTATACGTCACATGACCAACCAGGTGCATCACTTAAGAGGTCACAAGGTCGAGTAAGGACCGACATGAATGACGACAGTTTTTTAAAGGTCAACTCAGGTCCTCAGGTCATGGTGCTGATAACTAAGGTCACTCCGTCGACTACAGGGATCCACCGTGTTGGATCAGGTCATGTTCAGTGAGTCAGAAATATTGATGGAATATTCAGACTAGTTTAGCTCACCTCTTTCTGGTCAGACGCGCCACTTAGGTCATGTTTACGGTGTAGGTCATGCCTGTTAGGTCTTGGTCACATCGGTTGGGGTCAGGATCTCAGGGCAATACGTCAGCTTGAAGATGCCCTGAGGGGGTCCTGAGGCGGGGTTAAGCGTTAGTCGTCAGTTTGGTCCTAGTTTTAAGGAACCCCGGTGTTAATGGACTTTATTTCTAATGGACCCCAACCCTAATGGTACGGTTAGGTTAGGTTTAGTTACGTTTAGTTTCGTTACGTTTAGTTTGGTTAAGTTAGGTTACGTTTAGTTTGGTTTGGTTAGGTTAGGTTTAGTTAAGTTAGGTTACGTTACCTTGAAGTTGGATAGATTAGGGTAGGTTAGGTTAAGTTATGTTAGATTTAGTTAAGTTAGGTTATGTTTGGTTAGGTTATGTTTGGTTAGGTTATGATGTGGTAGATTATGTTAGCTTAGGTTAGGTTGGTTAATGTTCTGATATAGTATTGCTGTTTACTTTGTTTTGTACAGGTTCGGAACATGCGTGAATACGGTTCATAGCTCGTGTGAATCAGGTTCGATACATGCGTGAAAAAAGTTCATAGCTCGTGTGAATCAGGTTCGATACATGCGTGAAAAAAGTTCATAGCTCGTGTGAATCAGGTTCGATACATGCGTGAAAAGGTCCATAACTCGTTGAATCAGGTTCGGAACATGCGTGAAAAAGGTTCATAACTCGTGTGAATCAGGTTCGATACATGCGTGAGAAAAGTTCATAGCTCGTGTGAATCAGGTTCGATACATATATGAATCAGGTCTGAAACACGTATGAATAAGGTTAAAACTCGTATGAATCAGATTTGAAACACGCATGAATCAGGTTCGAAACTCATGAATTTTATAGGAAAGTCGTATATGAATCGGTTTCAAAAGACGCACGAATCAGGTTCAAAACACGTATGAATCGGGGTCCAAACACATTTATTTTCTGTCAGGAAGTGTTTAAAAGTTTTCCACCTCAAACTGTGGGAAGGGACAGCCTCTAAACTACCGTATATACAGTCTTACTACAATTACGGCGCCATTTTAACCTTCATATCTGCCATAATGTAAGTTAATTAGATAATTTCTCATATATCAAGTTAGGAGGAAAATTTATCGTAAGAACCTTTGAGACTAGCGGCCCACATCATCAGGCGACCGGGAGACATTTCTATTTTTTTCTCTGTACAAAAACGCGAAGATTTTTATTGTCCTTGTCGTAAATGTAACTTGAGTACTACATTACTAATTACTTTATGGAAGTTGTGTTACTATATGGATGTTACAGTGAACCAGTGATATAATAATGCAGTGTTTAATTGATTTAGTGGAGTTTATTCTGTAGTGATAATAATTTTAACTTAATTTTTAAAATCCTCGACAAAATATGTACAGGGGTGGAGAACATGATACTTTGAGCTGGTCACCCCGTATATAGATGATTCAGTCTGGTGATTTAGTGATGGAGTGAAATAGTGATATTGTTATACAGCCTTACAGTGATATGGTGTTTTAAATTGATACAGAGCGTCACTGATATGGTGAATGATACAGTGATGTAATTGGTGCTATGTTACAGTGAATAAGTGGTGCAGTGAAGAATTTATGTAGTGAAAATAATATCGAATTGAATTGAATTGAATTGTGACAGTTTATTTAGCCAGAAAAATACAGATACAGAGTGGATAATAATAACAATATTAACATGGCTGAGCTAGTTGAGAACCTGATATACGAGTGACAGTGATTCAGTGAGACAACAAACAATAATACAGTGAATTAATGAGTCACTGGTACAGGAAAACAGTGATTCTGTGATATAGTGAAGAACTGATGCCTTAAAATGATGATTCATTGATACAGTGATATATTACAACCGATGCAGTGATTCAAGGGAACAGTGATGAAGGAACTGGTTCAAGAATACAGTGATCTTTCGCGCGTTTTTTCCCAGCTGAGAAGAGATGCCCAGCCCCCTCCTCAAAAGTTACAGCTGATTGGCTGTTGCAAACTTGTCCGATTTTGTCCTGAAGTAATGATGTATTTCTAAATGAGTTTATTCATAATCGTTGGGATAACCATTTATGGTGAGAAAGATATTTAGCTAGATTATGAAAAGATACATACATTCATTATTTCAAATATAAGCACATAGGAAGTTTATCAGAAGTATTATATATGAATTAACTGTTAAAATCTGGTAGTAAATTCACGCTTTCGGAGGATGCACTTAATATATACTTATTTTTACCCACAATTAGTGAATACAGTTGCTGTATTTATATATAATGTTGTATTTTGTTTGTATAAATATTTTTTGGTGTATATAGAATTAATATAATTTTTATTTACTCAATTTATATATTTTGTGCACTAGAATACATTAAAATGTTATGTTTACCCAAGCTGTTTACTGATCGTACGGCCGGCAGCTACGATATTGAGGAGTGATCGTACGGCCGGCAGCTACGATATTGAGGCGTGATCGTACGGCCGGCAGCTACGATATTGAGGAGTGATCGTACGGCCGGCAGCTACGATGGTATCGTACGGCCGGCAGCTACGATATTGAGGTGATCGTACGGCCGGCAGCTACGTTATTGAGTGATCGTACGGCCGGCAGCTACGATATTGAGGAGTGATCGTACGGCCGGCAGCTACGATATTGAGTGATCGTACGGCCGGCAGCTACGATATTGAAGAGTGATCGTACGGCCGGCAGTGTTTACAATCGCACACACGCGAAAAAATTCCCTCGTTTTGAAAATCATCATTGGTCAGTCAGTTAGTCAGTCAGTCAGTCAGTCAGTTTTCTGAGTAACGCTGTGGATAATATATTTTCGTTGTGCTCTGAGTCCCTTGAGTACGATGATTTTTCCCCTTGAGTACAATGATTTTCCCTTGAGTACAATGATTTTTCCACTTGAGTACAAAGATTTTTCCTTGGTACAATGATTTTCCCTTGAGTACGATGATTTTCCCTTAGTTAAGTGATTTTTCCCTTGAGTACAATGATTTTTCCCTTGAGTACAGTGATTTTTCCCCCTTGAGTACGATGTCATTACCCCTATATCATTTGTATAGTGATGATATTGTACTCAAGGGGTTAAGTCATTGTACTCAGTGGAATAATGCACTGTACTTAAGAGGTAAGAATTGTACTCAAAGGTGTTATAATATTGTCATGGTGTGTGTGTGTGTGTGTGTGTAATAATAATAATAATAATAATAATAATAATAATAATAATAATAACAATTAACGGTTTATTGAAAGAGCTTGGCAGCCAGAAGGCTGAAAATATACATTTACATATTTGGGGAATGGGTTACGAATTACAAATAATATACAAGTAACATAAGTGACACAAATAAGACATGTAATAACTAGATGGGGAAAAGCTCAAACTACAGTTCATTTCAACATAGTGACAGTGCAAGGAGTAGTGTTTACTGGGAGTGAATACACTGGTTTATACAAGTTATTGATAATTTTTCAATGGTTGGGACTGGGCTGTTCTTATAGCGATCAGTTCGTGCACGTATGGGCTGGATGCGGTTGTGGTGTCGAACAGCAATTCTCGGACTAGGGATCTCAGGTGGTAGTAGGAGCCGGTGTCGAGGATGGTGTAGAAGCTTCTTACCAAATTTGCAGATGAGGTCGTGGTGATGGTCAGTGAGAGCCAGGGTCGGTGTTGACTTGCTTGATATGTGGAGTAGGAAGGGAGAATAATCTTGCATGCCCTCTTTGCACTTTTCCAGGTGTTTACGTTGTGTGGCATTTGGGAGGAAGACCAGGTGGGGCATAGGTGAGCTTGGGAAGTATGAATGTTGTGTAAACACTGAGGAGCTCGGGTGCAGGAACTCCGAGGGACTTGAGTCGGCGGAGGGTGGAGACGGAAACTGGAGGTTGACAACTTCACTGACGTGTGGTTTCCAATTTAGTTTGTTGTGTGTGTGTGTGTGTGGGTGGTGCACATCAAACGCAAAAGCACCTACGCACCTTCGAAAACATTCTCTCTCTCTCTCTCTCTCTCTCTCTCTCTCTTTTCTCTCCACCCAGCCAGTGACCACAACACACACACACACACACACACACACACACACACACACACACACACACACACACACAACCACCTGGTCAAGGTCATGATCATCTACCTGCTGGCACCTGGGTCTTGTGCTTGAGTGCCAAGGTGGTCCTCGAGGTGTATGGAGGAGGAGGGAGGAGGGAGGGAGGGGTTGGCACTCTTCATCGGTGGACCTCACACAGTGCCAATCGCTGTACTCCCGCTAAACGCCTACTCTCCACGCCTACTCTCCCCCTCCTCTCACGCCTCCTCCCCCTCCCACGCCTCCTCTCTCGCCTCCTCCTCCGCCTCCTCCCGCCTCCTCCTCCTCTCCCGCCACTCCCACGCCTCCTCCGCCTCTCTCCGCCTCCTCTCCACGCCTCTCCCGCCTCCTCTCCCACGCCTACTCTCCCACTCCTCTCACGCCTACCCTCCCACGCCTCCTCTCTCACGCCTCCTCTCCCACGCCTCCTCTCACGCCCACCCTCCCACGCCTCCTCTGCCTCCTCTCCTACGCCTCCTCTCTCTCCGCCCACTCTCCCACGCCTCCTCTCACGCCTACTCTCCACGCCTCCTCTCTCACGCCCACCCTCCCACGCCTCCTCTCGTCCACTCTCCCGCCTCCTCTCTCCGCCCACCTCCCACGCCTCCTCTCTGCCCACTCTCCCACGCCCCCTCTCATTCCCTCTCCACGCCCCTCTCACGCCCACGCCTCCTCTCCCACACCCTCTCCCATGCCTTT